CTCTTATCTTTTCTTCTCGCTCTTCCCTTCTCCTTTTTTCTTCTCGCTCTTCTTCTTCCCTTCTTAACTTTTCTTCTCGCTCTTCTTCTTGTATTTTCCCCCATTGGTCCCTTACATATGTATCTAGCTCCAGTCCCGTAAATCTGAGGTACTTTTCTCCCACCTCCCGAATTTCGGCTATTATTTCCGATATGGTTCTCTTAGGTTCCATGTGTAATAATTTACTCCTACAAATTTATATGTTCAAATACTGTACAGCTTTTCTCAATATAAGATAAATACTATAATCTTAAATAACTATAATAATAATACTTATGTACTTAACATGTTACTTAACTGTGCTTGACTTGACCTGTACTTTACCTCGACATACACAATATAAAAATGTCACAGTTTTAGGTAATAATGTCTAATTGGGCCTACTTTGTTGACCCGGTATCGGGCACTGGTGGTGGATGCAGATGCGCTCCGGTTGTAGGTGCGGCGATGTTCTGGTGGCGGCACAGTTACGATCCGGTCGGTGGTACGGTGATGATCTAGATGATCTAGATGAGGCACAGTGACGATCTGGTCGTAGGTGGTTTGCTTCGTGCCAGGTACAGCGGTGTACAGCAACCAGCGGGATAGAGTTATCAGCGCAGCGCAGCAAACAGCAGGACACAGCAATCAGCAGGACACAGCAATCAGCGGGGCAGAGCGGCACGATACGTCAGCAGCGGTGTACTGCAACAGCATTGAATAGCCACAGGGGTGTACAGCAACAGCGGTGTAAAGTTCGGTGGAACAACCCAATTAGCAGGTCACAGCATTGGACGGTTGCTTCAGCTGGGACAGGAGACACACGACGAGCACCCCAGCCGACTTCGGACAAGCGACACACAGCCTCAGACAGATGTGCCAGGATGCCTCACACAACGGACGGTCGATGTTCACAGCCCCGTAGAAGTTGATACTTCCGTGTCGGACAGCGACACACAGCTTCGGGCGGCGACACACAGTTTCGGGCGGGCGACACACTGGTTCGGGTGGCGACACAAAGCCTCTGGCGGCGACATACAGGTTCGGGCGGAGATTATACTGCCCAGCCCCGGACAGGGATGGTAATTCGGACGGCCTGACACTTCACAGCTTCACACAGGATGATTCTTAACTGCCCTTGATTCGTTCAGACGAGGATGATACTTAACAGCTTCTTTCGGACGAGCCCCCAATGTCGCGATGTGATTCTTATGTATGTCCACAGTCTTTCACTGCACTCCGTTCAGCAGCACACCATACACAAACAGTCACCAATGCAACAAACAGCAACCGGTTTGTTGTAAACGAAAGTTTATTTATCACTACTCGATGAACAAGACTTGATGTATAATTTCAGAATTTGATAATAAATCACTCCAACCAAATATTAATCAACATACCAATCCAAACACTTCTGCCAGTATATTCCCCATCAATTCTCTCAGCACAACACTTAACAGTATTCAATCCACAACAGTCAATGTAGCACATCCGCCATCACTCTTCTCTAACCACAACGAAAACTAACGCGTCACTTCCCATTACACAATTACGTCACAACACTCTCACACAAACGATACGGCTGCACATAAAATCTCTAACGAACATCGTTTCCCTATCAAACATGACAACAACGCTCTACACATAACAACAGTGATTCTCATACCCTCGACAGCATCCAGTATTTTTACAGATTTATTTTGCGTGGCTTAAATGTAGGTCAAGTGATTGCTGTAGAACAGATTTATTTTGCGTGGCTTAAATGTAGGTCAAGTGATCGCTGTAGAAGCTGGCCTGGCACCTTATTTATCTAACAACTTCTCACTCTCACTGGAACGTGGTACGCTAACAAGGCCTGGTCAGTCGGGTAAAGAAACAAAAGAGCACTACCATGTAATGCAACAGTCTGCATCACTATGAGGCAAGTCATCAAACATTCAATCAATTTTATTTTTTT